TTTTTGCTCGTAATTTGAAAAGGACATTAAGATATCGTTGAATTTCATGTTGCATTTCTAATAGGATAAGGGGGGATAGACTTAAATGCTATCTAGTATTTTAACGATTTTTTTTACGTTGAATCGAGAGACTAATATTATAGAAGTTATTTATATTTTATTTATTAAAGTATAGTTTTTTATTTGTACCTATTTACGTATCTAACTTCTAATAATGTTGTTGAAAATAATTTGTCATGCTAGCAATTTCTTTTATCTCAGATATTTTGTTGAACCCTGTATGTCTGGTATAGAAGGAAACAGATGTGACATTCTTTTTATGTTAGGAATTAAAAAAAATAAGGAAACTGTAAATGAATATTGTTCTAAATGTTCTTAATACTAAATGTTTTATTTTTTAAATTGATTCTTGTGTTATTCAAGATACAAAACACATTTAAAACCTATAAAAAAATATTAGAGTACATGAAAAGAGTGCTCTTAAAGAAATGCTATTTTCAATTTGAGTTTATGTATTGTATGTTATAATGAATTTGTCCTAAAATAAGTCCTGTAATTTTTAATTAGATTATATGATTTCAATAATGAATGTTTTAAATTTTCCAATGATAAACTATAAGTATGACATTTCGTTAATCAAAAACAAGCCTCTAGTATTTGAATATGATTTTTTTTTAAAAATGGCAAAAGAAAATTATATTTCTAATGATAATTAATGTTACATCAATTAATTATGTGACAATAATGATATGACAATAAGGCATTGCTATTTTGACAAGTCAGGCATTATATTTTGAGTATTTTTTAGACTAAATTTCAAAAAGCAAAATTAATTTGATAGATCTAATAGTTTTGATGTTATAAGTATTTTATGAGTAAAAGATATGTCAAAATTTGTATATTTCATATACGAAACCTTCGTTTCTTCTAAACTATTAGTTTAAGGGATTAATTTTGATTTCTTTGGATTTATGAGGAAAAATTACATTTGAAGCAATGTCTCAATTTTCTAGATAACAGTGTCAGCTACGTTAATTTGTATAAACAAAAATTGTTCTTACTTTGTACACACAAAACCTGTAATAACTTTTGTAACTGATAAACTTTGAAATCAGACAATTGGGTTCATTCGATTTAGTGTAAATATACCTTACTTACCTAGATAGCAATGTTAGATGCGTAAATAGGTATAAGTGAAGTAAAAGAACTACTTTTTATACATGAAGCATAAATAACTTTTCCAATATTAGTCCCTCTATTTAACGTAAAAAAAAAACGCAAAAATACTAGAAAGAAGTCATATAATTAATCATTTTTATACTATGCAGCTCCACTAATGTGGAAATGAATTGTTAAGAATTCTTATTTGCAGCCGAATAAATATAATAAAATGCGCAAAATTAAATGGCTATCAATTAATAATCTACATCGTCTGTGATTACCTTTTCCTGAATTTGCGAACAGCATTAAAAAACTATGAGAAAATAGCATCAGACGAAAAAAAAAATATTAACGAAATATTAAGATAGATAATAAAAAATGGTAGCCCTGTGGTGGAGGTGATCGCCATTAGTGGTAGAATAGAAAAATTCATCATGGATTTACTTTACCGTAAAAAAATACATCTAAAATTATTGATGTAGTAAGATGATTATTTCCAGGAAATTATTATAAATCGTTTAGCGAAAATTTGATTTATTAAGCAGAATTAGTATGATGGATAATGGCCATATTCATCATACAAAAAAGAAATCCCCTAAAGATGTCAAATCAAGCACTCTCACATCGAGAGATGATACAGCATGGACATCATTTTTTTGACGATTAATAATTGAGCCTGGGGAGGTCCGAAGGGGGCACTCCCAGTCTCCACAAATTTGAAATTATTTGTTCCCAACGAACACAGGAGAAGCATGGGTAGGAGATCCAAAATTGGCGAATTATCAAAATATAGCACAGCCAAAACAAAGCCAACCCAGCATTATCAATATTTTGATCAAAAATACCTTGGTGATCACGAGTCGCCAAGAAATTTAAGAGAGTTATTACAACCATGCAACTGTAACATTTTGCGGTTAGAAAATTTAGAATTAAAAAGTTATAAATAGATTTTTATTTTCGATTAGGCGCGGCAGTGAATTAATAAGTCTGCATTAGTAATGAAATAAAAAGTATCCGTTACATTGATCGATAAGAAAAGAATAAATGTTTTACATTCGTTTCAACAGATTAAGTCTTTGATTTATTTCAAATATATTTTTATTAATAAAAATAAGCTTAAGTAATGAAAGATATTTTAAAAGGATAGAAAATAAATATGTAATGCCAATTGTGGCATCACAGAGACATTATTAATATTTGAACCCTCAGCTGTAGTTTCGCCATTTTGCTTTCAGTTGAATTTCGAAATTATAGTTTTAGTTGAAAAAATTGGAAAAAAATATTTCAGGCCTTTTTCAGCAAATACTCTTAACAAAAAAATTTCATTAAAATTTGTGACAAGAAGGCATACTGTTGGATGATTCT